TAAATTGTTATATATAAACTGGATATAAACTATACATAAAATTTACTGTATATAAAAAAAAAAAATTTTTACCTGATAAAAGTCTTTGATCTGAGATATCTTTAATATCATATAAAGGTAAATCTTTAACTGCTTCACCTAATTCACCTTTTGCCAATAAACCTTGTTCACCATTTGGTAATTGAATTGGCATTTTCTGTAATAGATATTCAAGAGCATAAAATTTATCTGGTAATTGTGCCATAGGGTCCTAAAATAAAATAAAATAAAAAAAAAAAAATAAAATAAAATAAATGAATAAAATATAAAATATAAAATAATTATAATTATAATTATAATAATTATAAATTATAAAATAAAATATAAAATGTACACAATAATTATTTACCCATCTTGGTAAGAATCCATTATCGTAACCAACCATGAAAGAAGGTGAACTAGTATCATGTTCCATAACATCTTTTAAAACATTGAAAGTATGAGGTTGTGCATTGCGACATGTTGAAGAAGTTGTTAAAGCACCAAATTCCTTTATGGCAACTTTTTTAAATGAATTAAATTTTGTTGCGGTGATTCTTGAAGACGGTGAAACAACAGCAGAAAGAATAAAACTTTTGTGAACAATTTGTTTAATAAAATTTGTCATTTTTTTTTTCTTAACAATATTTACTTTATTTTTCGGTTAGAAAAAAATGCTTTTATTATTATTATCACTTATTTATTTATTACAAGAAATAAAAGAATTCCCCCCAAAAATTTCATGAGTTAAAATTTCGTTTAATGAGGATAATTGTTTTATAACTTTTAACGATCCACATTATGGGATGATAATTTACGCGTCAGAAGGTCTAAAATATGATCCCAATATGGTAAATTCATAAAATTGTATACATTGTGACATTTGCGACATTGTGATCATGGGAAATTTAATTTTCAAATCATTGGTTTTTTTATTATTTAAAAAAAAATTAAAAAAGTTAATGATTTTAAATATGATTAAAAATTTAATTGGTCAAAGAATAATTTTGTTGTTATTGTTTTTTCTTTTTTATTTTTTTTTAATTCCTGTTTATTTTTATTATTCCTTTCTTTTTTTAAGGCTTCTATTACAGCAGCAAAACTTGAATTTAAAAATTTCACTGCTATTTTTTTTTAAGAGATTACATCTTGTCAATGTAATTTTTTAGTTCATTACCTTTAATAAGTTATTCAATGTGTGTATATTATATATACAGATCAGTATATATATATATTTATATATTTGTAGAAGATTATACATAAATTTAAAAGATTTTAATAAAAGTTTTCATTACTGACAATAATATTTTTCAAAGTTAAATTGAATGAAATTGAATAAAGAAAACCAAAAAATTATTACTCATTCTGCAATGTTTGGTAACCAAGATCAATTGGGATAGTTTTATGAAAGTAAATAATTAATTAAAATAATGAATCTGATGGGTTTTCATGATCAAGAAACGGTCCACAGCCAGGTTGACTACGAAATCACTGGTAAAAAAAAAACGGAAAAGAAAAAAACCCTCAAAGAGCAATTTAGTGTTTTAATGATTTACAGGCGTACTCAATTTTCGTTCAATTTTGTTGGGACCTAAATAAAAATATCACCATTCAATATAAATCATTAAAATCTAATCAATGATTATCGAGAAATAATCTAGAATAACTTTTTTTAAAAAACAATATTTTTTCAAGATAATAGAAAAATTCTTATTAAATAATAACTAATTGTTCTATTTATTGTTCCATTTAATTGTTCAATAATAGTTATTCATTTAGTTATTCATTTTAATTCATATTTTTCTTTATTTAACTGAATAACTAGCGACTTTAAGAAAATTGCATATTTACAGTCTATACTTCTTTTCTCATTATAACGAATACATTCAGTATAATTCGATATACATGCATAAATACAAGAATATGAAAAAATGATTTTATTTTTTTTTATTGGTCAATGCAAGCAAGTTATTTTGGTTTGAAAATAATCGAGATACGTAATATTTTGAGATATTTTGAAAATCATTCCATTTTAAATCTTTGAACAGGTAAACAGAGATTTAGCCTTCCGCCTCTTGACAGAAGGGAACAGAAACGAACAGAAACAACAGA